AAGGTCATCCTGAAGGGGTGAGTCCTGCATGCAAACCCTGCTGGGGCAGGTCAGCTGGTGGACTTTTAGTAATGTAGGTTTTGTGCTAACCCAAACACTCACTCTGAACTTTCTCTGTGTCCAGGTTTGATTCAGGAGGTGGAGCTGACTTAAGCGATGGCAGAGAAGTGGAGGGTGAAGATGCCTCTCCTGGGTATCCCACTTCTATCGCGCATGAAGAGGAAGAGATAGAGGTAACAAAACTGATATAATCTGAAATTTACTGTTGTAAATAACTTGTACTGACTTATCAGAGAGCACATAGAGGATTCTAGTTCCTCATTCTTACAATAAGAGCATTTGCACAGCCTCACAACTGAGAAAAAACATTTATATAAGCTTTAGAATCTAGTAATGCAGTGGAATGACTTAATTGACTGACTGGCAATTACTGGGTATTGCCTCTTCAGGAAGGGTAGACTAAGTAGAGGAAGAAGCAGCAGCCATTTTAAATACTGTGGACTAAAAAGGCTACTGAGAATGTATCAGTGAGTGTGATGATGAAGCTCAGGAAACGGGATTAATGGATCCACCGGAAAACAGATGAGCTGCTTAAGGTTGTTTCTTGAGGGTTTTCTAATAGGAGATCCTGTATATGTTACTTTGAGCCATGTTGTGCCCTGGAGGATGGTGGTTACAGACCAACAGAGTCTGGATTTACCCACAAAATTATGCATATCTACCCACTTAAAAGGTAGGTAAAAGGTTTTTTCCATTTCTACCCCTGCATTAAAAAAACCTAAAAGTAGAAGGAAAAATTTTGTAAACTTGTCAAGAAACAAAAAAAAAAGTACAATTCTAATAGACTACAGAAAAGAAATGTAAAGTATGTTTGAAATTACAAAATGAGGTAACTTTTGGCTATATGGCTAGGATGTTCAACAGTGATATGAAAGCAGCAATTAATAAATAAAACCAAAGTATATGGGAAGACAAAATAGGTAGTTGCTACAAACTTGATGTAAGAGAATATAGTCTTGATAATGGAAGCTTAAAAAGGCATGACTAACAAGGATGATACAATAATAAAATTTAATCTATTAGGAAGAAAGGCAGTGCTCAAAACGTGGTAGGGGGCTGTTACTGACCAGCAAATACTGGTGCTAGGTATTTCTCCATGTAAAACAAGCAGGGTGATGTGTTTGCCATTCTGTTAGCACCAAGGCAGAGCAGAAACAGGACTAAAAATAAGCCCAGATATTTAACCTGAAATGTCCAACTGGCTCAGCCAGTACTGGATGCAGAGACAGGTCAGTGGAGCAAGAGAAGGCAAAGAGGACAACCCAGGTAAATACAGGCTGGTTAATCTCGCATCAGGGATAGAATTCTGGTAACAGTGGAAGAAATCCATTAATAAAGAATTAAAGGCAAACATGCAATTAAAATCCACCAAAAATAGACCTTGTCATTCAACCAGGCTTAGTAGTTCTAATTATTAAGAGGCATCACCTGGCATGGCCCTCTGCAGTAGAGGCAACATTGACAGAGAACTACAATTCATGATGCACATGAGGGGCAAGATGGGCTCCCTGCAGATCTCAGTTTGCCACTGTCCTTCAGACAGGGATGTTTCCTGTGAGATTCTGCTCCAAACACTGCTACACCATGTACTTGTTGATCAGTGAATGTGAAGCAAATCTGAAGTCACTCCTGAGAAGGATGGTAAGCTACAGCATGGTAGGAAAACACAGAACAATACATACTACTCAGCAAGGCAGGCCTGCCAAGCAAAGTGTGACTGAATTTGGCTTTTATCTGCATCAATATTTCATCAGGAAATGGGAGTGTGTATCTCAGCTATTCCAGAAAAGGCTAAGGTGAGGTCTAATACTTGGCACATCTGTTGCCAAAAGGGTTAAGTAAGTCTTTTAAGGATATAAACAAGGAAGAAGTGAGTGAGAATGTCATGCCTTCTGCCTAGAGCAGAATGGAGATAAATTTCAGTGTCAGTTCTGATGTCAAAAAATAGAAGGCCTGAGACATGAATACAGAAATCCTGGGAAAAGTTTTCTGCAGGGAGAGATATAAAGCAGCCCTGTCTCTTCAGCTTATGGAGAAGACCAACAGGCCCCTTCATTACTCTGCAAATGTTTTCAGGGGGAAAAGGCCAGGTACTAAAAGGTTTTCTATTTGGCAGGCAGAATAAGAAGGAACAAAGGCTGGGAGCTGAGGACAGACAACTCAGATTGAAAAAAAGGCATAAGCTTGTTACAATAAGGGTTAGTGATTACTGGAACAAATTAGCAAGGAACTTGTTGGTTTACTTGTATTTAAAATACTATGTTTTGTAACTCTTTTTTTTTCCTGTTAAAGTTGTACGCCCAACATGTGTGACTCAAAACACCCTGACACTGCAGTGGAATTCTGGCCAATTATCCTTCTGGTGGTGGCTGGGATGACTAGTTTAGATACAAAAAAATACCCCTGAAAAATAAAAAGCAAAACAAATGCAATTGTTCAGGATTTGGACAATGCAAAAGGACTTCTTTCAGAAAATTGGACTTGTACCTAGAGAATAACTTCCTGTAATGGCAGATAACACATTTCAGAGGTTTCTGGTTTAGCTTTGAGTAGGTATGGCCTATAGACTTGAGTCCTCAGTAACGGTGTGCCCAGTTTCCTGTGACACTAGTCCCCCTCTTTCACACAATACAATGAAATTACAAACACAAGCATGGAAAGCAAATTAGCCGAAAACCTTCAGCTTCTTGTTTTCTTCCTTTCATTTTAAAACTACAGGTACACAGCAGGCATCCAGGAGGGAAGCTGAACACTTCACTTGATGCTACGGTTGCACAGCAGGTAGTAATTTCAGAAGTTTTGTTGTGCTTTTATTGTCCAGAATAAGTAACCAGCCTCCACCCAGGAAGGTATATTTGCAGCCCTCTGGCCCTTCAAAGATGTGAAGCAGGAACAGAATGAAAGGAAGAAAATCTGTCACTGAACTAATCTGTAAGACAAACAGCAGGTTGGTAAAAACCACTGCTTGTAACTTTGCACAACAGCCATACAGTGGTAAATAACAGATATGCAGATGTGTAAATTAATTTGCCATAACAAAGATACACAGAAAAATTAAACTATCCAGAGTAGCTTCAAAGTGGTTCCATTTATGCCTGCTCTAAGGATGTGCATTTATGTTGCAGTTGGGTGAAACCGAGGGCACAGACCTGATCTGTTTCACATTCAGGGATGCAGGACTCCTGCTGGGAAATGAGAGAAAAGCACAGCTGATCTCTTCCCCCACCACCACCACCACTCC